CCAAACTTAGAACTCGCGATACTGGTGCAGACGACTATTCGAACAACCATGAAAAATAAATGGCGGGATTTTGGTGTTGCACATTTAGCACAGAAATAAAAGACACGCCCACAGTTGGACAACCAAACATTTTATTATTGGTCACGATGTACCACAGATCATCTACACCCCCTTTGTAAACACCACATACACGATGTGCCACCATCCAATGGCGGAATGAGCGGCTTCCTTTGTGCACAATCAGCGTCAACTTTATGAGAAAAACACGACGCACTTGCGAAGCCAGACCGTCTGGTGGCGCCCTACTATTTCATCAATAACCAAATATACTATTATCCTGTTCCCGAATTGGACATTTGTTTATTTGGAGTAATTTCCAACTCTACGCCAGGTCCTTAGTAATTAATGATTCCACGTATTTATTTGGCCGTTATTTCACAGACGTAAAATGCCATAATGTTAATCCGCGAAAATATGAACACTGATACTGATAATGAATTACAAATTTGGCAAAAAATACTAAATTTGCTATCCCATGGAAATAATTGAAATCAAAATATTTGGCAATATATTAAGTTTTGCGTCGCATGCACACGATTGAAATATCATATAAATGGGCTTAATATACTAATGTTGTTTTTAGTTAATTGTAAGAACGAGTTTACATCCTGGAATGGCCACGATGTACCACGAATCATATCACCTTCACACAATACATTATATTCATACTATGAATGTATCACTTTCAGACTTTACGTTATAATGATAAAACAAACATATCACCTTCACACAATACATTATATTCATACTATGAATGTATCACCTTCACACAATACATTATATTCATCCTATGAATCTATCACCTTCAGACTTTACGTAATAATGATACAACAAACATATCACCTTCACACAATACATTATATTCATACTATGAATGTATCACCTTCAGACTTTACGTTATATTGATACAACAAACATATCACATTCACACAATACATTATATTCATACTATGAATATATCACCTTCACACAATACATTATATTCATACTATGAATGTATCACCTTCAGACTTTACGTTATATTGATACAACAAACATATCACCTTCACACAATACATTATATTCATACTATGAATGTATCACATTCAGACTTTACATTATGATAAAACAAACATATCACCTTCACACAATACATTATATTCATACTATGAATGTATCACCTTCAGACTTTACATTATAATGATAAATACAAACATATCACCTTCACACAATACATTATATTCATACTATGAATGTATCACCTTCAGACTTTACGTTATATTGACACAACAAACATATCACATTCACACAATACATTATATTCATACTATGAATATATCACCTTCACACAATACATTATATTCATACTATGAATGTATCACCTTCAGACTTTACGTTATGATGATACAACAAACATATCACCTTCACACAATACATTATATTCATACTATGAATATATCACCTTCACACAATACATTATATTCATACTAGGAATGTATCACCTTCAGACTTTACGTTATATTGATACAACAAACATATCACCTTCACACAATACATTATATTCATACTATGAATGTATCACCTTCACAAATTACACTGACACAATTACATTGATATTGATACTCATACTCGATCTATTATTAACCTATCATAATAGTAAGTACATGTATACACGGAATATATCACATATATATGTACACATCGCCATACATAATCTACTACTACTATTATTTCAGCCTATTTCCTCTGACTCACCATTGTAAAGTACGATAGGTCATTATTGTAATTCATTTGGTAGCAGTTATTGTCGACAAGCAGAAGCCGCCTTACACGTGATACACAATGTATTACTGCACTCAGAGGTTACCATGACTACCTTGTGAACTAAATTACATAGGTTTGAAATGCAATTATTAATCATGCAAACAGTGTATGCGCACGGGGTGTAGATTGAACTCCGTAATCATGGTCAATGTGACAATACATATATGTAATGTGTTCACGTTTCTCACTCTATCTCGGATTTAGTGTAGTGTAACTGATGTTCGCCGTATTTTATAGTTAAATCGATATTATATTCTCCGTAACTAATAATAGATGGGTTACCAGTCCTGCCATTAAATGCATTGATACCGAAGATGTACGAGTACTCATTGTAATATATACTTACGTGAAAAGCATCCGCACTGCGCACCCATCAACAAGAGTAATGCTTTTATACGTCATTGCTCTAACTCCGTAAAACACGTCACAGCGGCACTCCCCGTACGTCATATTGAGCATGTCGCTAAATTATTATGATAAAACCGTGCGCTGTCAATTATTAAAACGACTCGTTCTTATTGATCATTGGATATCATCTGATGCCCACGGGATGTCCCGGTGATCTTTGCTTGAATAATTGGTTTAGACTGTGTCTCTCCAATTATTAGCACATCCTCGTCTATACCCAGTTAGAATACAATATTGAAAGCGCGTCGTCGTCCCCTCCCTCTAATAAGCTTCCTCCTGTGTGATGGAGGTTACCTGTTTTCCTGTACCGGTAGGCACCAACATACATAAACAAAGAAGAGACGATATTATCCCTGAGTTGTCCCAAGACATAAAGAGATATTGTTATCCATGAGTTCTCTAGAGACATAAAGAGATAATATTATTCCTGAGTTGTCCCAAGAAATGAAGAGATAATATTATCGCCAAGTTGTCCCAAGACACAAAGAGATAATTTTTATCCTCGAGTTGTCCCAAGAAATGAAGAGATAATATTATCCCTGAGTTGTCCCAAGAAATGAAGAGATGATATTATCCCTGAGTTGTCTCAAGACATAAAGAGATAATATTATCCCCGAGTTATACCAAGACATAAAGAGATAATTTTATCTCTGAGTTGTCTCAAGAAATGAAGAGATAATATTATCCCGAGTGGTCCCATAAAAAGAAGAGAGGTGATATTATTCCTGAGTTGTACCAAGAACGAAGGAGATGACATAATCTAAGTGATTCCAAGAAATGAAGATATAATATTATCTCTGAGTGTTTCCAGTAACAGCGACAGTAATACGTAGTTATGTAGTGATTTTAAAAATATTGGTAATTCTTGGTCAAATTGTGGTGCTTTGATTATGTTCGCATGTTTTGCTGGTGGAGTGAATTATTCATGATCATAATAATTCCATGATGTTAGAAAGTAGTTAAACCTGGAACAGCAGATAGAACCATTGTTCCAGGATCCAACTCTTGCACTGAACTTATCTTAGAATTTATTGACCATCATTTTAGGAATTTAGTTGTTTGTTTGGCACTCATGGGTCTTACTTGGATCTAGAATTATGAAGAGCATATTTTATACACACAAGAACCTCTATAGCCATTACACTAATTCAGATTATCTTTATCTATTTAAAAGTATGTCATAAATAATGTGTATGTTCATAGAAACCGCCTATCATGCATAATGATGAAAACGTTTGTTCTATGCTGTCAACAGACTGTATCTTATCGTATTTGAGCTGGTAAATTAACCAGGTGGGAGCGCATTCTAGTATAACTATCTCGATACAGGGAATTCGAAAATTGATACAATACGAAATAACATTTATCATTTGAATCTGACAAGTTTGTCAGTGACACCACAATGTCAGCATGAATGCCTAATTAAATTTTTGTTTGAGAAAATATTTCGTTAAGAGGAAATATTCTTTAGCAATCTGGTAGATTTTTTCCTAAAAGACACATGGTTTGCAAATGTGTTTGTTCTTCACTGTCAATAATTTCATTTTCATTTCTGGAAATTATTTAAATTGTCATGTTTTACATGGTTCACCTTAAAGTTTCGTGCAGAATTTTGAAGAGTAGAAGCTGTTATGCCTAGAAAAGACACCCTATAGAGAATCCGATCCCGTCAGATATAGGTGACAAAGAAGGGTTTTCTCAATAATCCTTACTTCTGGAGGTGATCTGGGGGGGCACCAATGTGTCGTCGATGTTGGCTGTACGGTGCACAAAATATTTAGATAAATAAATTATAAGACGAAAAGTAACTATACATCATACCATTAATTTGTAATGAATTATATGATATAAAACTCGGATGTATAAACAGAACAAAATATATCAGGAGAAGTTAAAAACTGGAAGCAAATACTAAATATGTACACTCCAGTGACTCCAAATTTTAACTGTCAATTACAATTTTTGAGTACATAGAGGACAAATAAAGCAATATGCTGAAAGAAAAACCAAAATGCGAGAAACCACCAACAGAGACATTTTTATTAAAATAAAAATACATTTTATGATTTATACATATTCATCCTATAAGTGTTTTTTTAAATATTTGACGAAAATGTGATTTTGAAATTTCTTCTCTGATTTCGATTCGATATAGCAAATTGTCCTAATGTTGTGTTTGCATGAATAGAATATAACAATTTTTGAAGGCAATGTCTTGTATTATATTCATGGTCAACAAATGTAAAATAATCTGACATGCTATCACAGCATATTATTTGTTTGTGAATAAAAGGTGTATAAAAAAATTGATAAAGACAGTGTTATGCATACATACCACAGGCATAGGCTATATTATTATTATTATTCTCTTTGTTGGGTGATGTAATTGCATGGGGTCTTTTGTACATTATTCATATTATCAGTGGTAAGTAAAGGGTTCAGACATGATGGACTCTGAGGAGGCACGATAGGTGTATTTTTATCAGTTACCTGGAAATAAGAAACCATACTAAGCATCACTGCATTCATGTAAGATGTGTAAAAAATGTGTTTAACAAACATAATGGAAGATTCATAATAAAAAAACAATGTTTCTGTCCCATGAATAACGTGTAGAAATGCTCTATATACATGCAGACGTATAAACATACATTCAACTACAGTTAGGAAAAATATCAACTGACTTCAAAGATATTTTGTTTCCATATGTTTTATATTGTTTATATATATATATAGTGAAAACATATACTAACAAGATATGATAGTAATAAAAAAGAATGGGGTGAATGGTCTGGTCTGTCTAGCTTCCTTTCCAAAGAAAAGAAACACTGTACTCACCAACTGTTGTACCTTTGGTCGTTTTGGTTTATTTCCTGTAACGGTAACGGTTCGGTCTTTCGGGGGTGGTCTTTTCTTTCTTGTCACAAACATTCTCAGTTCTACTTCTCTAGCTGTGGCTGGTATAGGATCGGGATGTTCTTCCGTAGGACCATTACCACCAACAAAATGTAAAGAACACACGTACGTGTCTTGTTTGATTCGATGTCTTCCGAAGTCGTCACCACGAGAACACGCACTGATCCACCGATCACATTTTTCTGGTTGGCGTTTCGGTTTGCGCAAAAAACACTCCATTCATGTAATCCTTGTTTTAACTCCCATTGATGCTTTAAATGCCGATACTGTTGAGTGATTGTTGTTTACAACACTGCAATCAATATACTGTAGTTGCCACCGTCGTGAATGAAAAGCTTTTGTCGCCCGGTTGCTAAGTGCGTTATTTAGGTCACACGAGATTTCGTATGATCTCGCTTAACGCGGAATATGGCTTATTTCCGTGCACTGTAGCAATAATTGTTACCCATGGTTACATATCATTTACCAATGCCCGGTAAGGATTTGCTTCGTTCTCATTATTTACCTGTATGATTCCGTAAATGCATGGATGTTTTTTCAGAATGATTTTATTGCAGGTAGATTCGGTCAAGGCACCGAATCATCGTCCGCCTGCACGGTGTTGTTCCATTCAGACATTCCTTCCTCTCCAAGTGCTTTGTCGGAACATTCATCTTGAAAATTCAAATTGATTTCATGGTTATTGACTACTGAATAATAACAATGTACTTCCTGTGAACTTATAGTGGACTCAGGCAAATTTTATATAGCTATGGTTTATTTTATAACGTTTCGGGGAGTTGTAAAACCTCTTTATCAAACAACAAACTAAAATTGTATGGTGGTGAATGTTTTTGAAGCCAGCATCAATACATGTGACTTTAAGATTAACAATACTGTGGTTTGTGGAATTAAAATGAGCTGGGATGGGGAAAAAGTTCTTGTTGTAAATAATAGATGAACGATGCTGTAATATTCTAGTTTTGAGTTTCTAATGAGAATGTCACCCAATTTGGGACACCGCCTGTCTGATACTATAGGCGGAGATGTAAAAATCTTACACAGTCTCTCATCAGCCTGGAGAAGGGGGAAATATTTGCATAGAATGCTGGGTAGAGCTGGAAGTGAAGGGTTATAAGTAACAACCAAAGGAGTTCTGGTGTTATTAATGTTATTTTTATTAGAAATGTTATTACCTACTAGGGCCGATTGTCTAGAGGTGTGTTTAACCGTGAAATAGTATTGGTAGGATACCCCCTGTTGTATGTGGCAAAATTAGTGAAATGGGACGACAGTTTAGAATCACTGGAACAGATACGTCGGGTTCTGAGTAATTTACTAAAGGGGGTGGAATTTTTCATATGATACAGGTGATAAAGGGGGTTTTACATCTCCCCGAAACGTTATAAAATAAACCATTGTTTGAAGTCAGGGACGTTTGGAGCTTCATATATTATACACAACTCCCTTTATTATTGTTTAAATACTACCGGTAACAACCTGACGGTTACAGAGAGTGTAAAGGAATAAATTACTGGTATGATTGTTTCCCCGATAAGCATGTAGCGTATGGTGAACAATAGTGTAACACAGTTTGCATTTTTATTTTATAAACTTACGCCATACGCCTGCCAGGAAACCAATGTACTGATAAAGCTTGCCAGAACGATATTCTCTCACAAGCTGATTAGGTTTTGGTTTGCGCTGAAGTTCTGTATGGACTTACTGAGCCAGCTACAGGTAACCTGGACGCCAATAACCGTTAGGTTCGACCAGTAATTTATCATCTAAACTGAAACATTGTTGCACTATTGGAAACATCGCGCAGTGCTTATGGGTGAAACAACCATAACATTATAATTTTACACATTCTGTAATCGCCATCATAGTGTGACTACGTCGAGTGGTCGTTACGCCCAACTCAGATGTTGCTAGTAATAACAATAGTTGAATACCCGCATCTGCATTCAATTATTTATAGAGAGCTTATAATAAAAAAAAAAACAGATACAGTTGGAGATACGCCAGGGTGGAATACTCCGGAACGGGCGAAATGTGTAAGTGTTATTTCACTTTATCGCTTTTTCAACATATATACAAAAATGACGCTACGTTGTATTCATTTTAACCAATAAAGAGGTCTGACTAAATAGCGTACATACACAATAGTGTCTGGGCGAATTACCACGATATATCAGTACTCACATAGGCCGGCTTTTCTAATATGGTTTTATTGTTTTTAGCTTCGCCATGCTATCTCAGATATGGTATCTTCATCATGGCAATTATCTGGTTTTGTACGTGTGTATGGTATTACAAGGTTGCTGTAAACGGTAAGTGAATCATATTCATACTGTCGTGCATGGAAGGCAGAGTGTGGAACTATTTATTAAAAATAATATGCTAGGATTTAAATTCGCATTTGTAAATTACATGTTTAAATTCGTGAAACAACCATTTATATTCATAAAGTCTTCATTTTTTCTTCACAAAACCTCCATTTGTATTCGTCTCTATTTTTACTAAAACTTTCCCTGTGTCTTTGGGAAACCCTCATTTTTACTCTTTAAACTTCCAATTGTATTGTAATACTTGAAATTGTATTGGTGAAACATTTCTATTTGTATTAAGAATCTCCTTCTGTGCTTGTAAAATCACAATTCGTTATTGTAAAATATTCATTTGTGTTCGTGAAACTGGCTTGCTTGTGGAATTTAGGAGCATGGAGGGCGCTGCTCCTGCATGCAACAACGATGGCAAAAGGTCATCATTGAGCAGGAGACATTGACTGTGGATCACTGTCACCTGAGAGCATCGATGTGATCGATGACGCTTTACAGAAAATGAAACTGCAAAGCATGCACGACAGGATATATTGACTTTGGTCTTGGAACCTTGCGCGACAGGCAGAATGTAGCATCTAAACCCGTGTTGAACTTCCGAGCACAGTAGCGCGTTATAGGATATCGTGTAACACAGTAACATTATAAGGACCATGGTCGAAAAGTATTGTACAGACACGATTATTCCGTCCGTTCCTTCGATGTACAACACGGAGGCCGACACGGAGCCCTCGCCTCAACTATGGGTTGGTCTGCGCAAAATATCAACGATTACCTCCAATCGGGATGATTAGTTCCTGGATTAAATGTGATTTTTTAATTGGTGGTGGAATTGTTAGTACGTGTTATGTGACTTCGCAATTACGACTTCAATTTTGGATAACACATCTCCAATTTTTGAAAACAAAAACTAATCATTCCGACTACAGTCAGTTTAGTGCAACTTTTCCATTGAGTACCCACCTTCTAAGCCATGCGTTCACAACTGAAACGTTTATCAACTCCTAGTGGTTTATGATTTTGATAACAGATTTCGGAGTTTGGGAATAATTTGTTGCATCGGCAACAACACCCAAGACACCTAACAGAGTCTTTTCCGCTTAAATCTACAAGTTACTTGTTGTATATTTTATACTCTGCAACAAGGTGTACCTCTGAATTTCAATTTTTTTTTCAGAATATTCGCCCATCAGAATGATGCCATTACAACACAAGCCTTCGCCAGTAAGAGAACACGTGAGTAAAATAAAATATGCTAAATAAAATAATGCTCAGTAATTTCACAATAATTTGTACTGTCGTATGGGCAAATGTGAAATTTATGGTGTTCCACTGTTTTGGCGCCGATACTATATTTTACGGTATTTGCACCACCCGTGTTATTTTTACCTTGGGTCAAAATATAACAACGGCACATATAGTGCAACTCCGAACTCCAACCAGTAATTCTGGGGTTCCTATATAGCAGTCTTAAGTATCATGTGGTCGGGTATGGATTACTAAACAAATGTTTATTTCCATATGCAAGAAGCAAATCCATTGAGTACTCACATAGGACAAGCTTTTGTAAAATGTACTGCCATAATATACTGTTTCTGTATTTTTTGCAGAACATAATGATTAAAGCAGACCTACATAGACGCAGGGCAGACCTTCAATGTGCGTGCGATGAGCTGGGGACTAGGCAGAATTTGCGTTTCAACAAAAATGAGAACTGTTCGGCTGTTACGGAGCAAAACACGACGATTATGGAAGGTAAAAAGGATAAAAATTACAAAAACGTGAAGCTGTCTCATGAGATGTACGTCGATGACAAATATAAAATGGTGTACTGTCCTGTTCCTAAAGTGGCAACATCAAATTGGCGAAGAGTGTTGATGGTCATGGGAGGGCGCTACAACAGTACCACTAACATTTCAGATAGTACGTGGGGAAATTACGTAAAACACTTTCCAAGGCTTAGTAGCTTTAACTCAGAAGAGAAAGAACGGCGTCTTCTCACGTATACTAAAGTGTTATTCGTTAGGCACCCTTTTGAACGGTTATTGTCTGCATACCGTGATAAAATTGAACGAAAAACGACACGACTCGGACGTAGGCACGGAAATATTAATTCGTTTCAGAGTTTTGTGAGGTTTGTCATAGGTCACCAAGCATCAGCTGACGTTCACTGGCAGACATATGAAAAGCTGTGTAAGCCATGTGACGTACAGTATGATATTATCGGAAAATACGAGACCTTATCACGTGACGCTAACTACGTGCTGCAATACATCGGAGCTGATGACGTTGTGACGTTCCCGGGCTGGGAACCGCATGGAACAAACTCGTCATTATCTTTATTGACCAATGAGTATTTCTCAAAAGTTAGAAAAAGTGAAATTGAGAAATTATACGCAATTTATGAAAATGATTTTAAAATGTTTGGTTATGAGTTGTATTAAACAGTCTCGAATTTTAATGATGGGGTCAGGGAATAAAGACTGAACTTTCCGAGATTTTTAAGAGCTCCGTGCAAGTGGGACGCGTGTGTTTTTGAAGTATCCAGCAACTGTAGCATGGTTTGATGAAAAATGACAAAATGAAAGTGATATGAAGAGAATTGTGAATGATTCTAGATGAAAACAGTTCTACGGTTGTAGTTGAAAATTAGTGAATTGTAAAACAACTGTTGACATGTTTGAACTGGCGACCACTTCGCAGTTGCTATACCTTGTGAGTAGTTTACACCCAGAGGCTCCAACATTATGTATGAAATTGTCGGTGATCAACTTTTATACATATAAAATAGCTTTTTATTTAATAAGATAATTTAAGACACACTGTTTATATATTAACATATACATTATTTCTTTTTGATGAAGTACATTATTGACAGCAGTAAACATGATCATTTTATCTATACCTTTCTTTGCTAGCTTGGGTTGTTTTTAGGATAAATTGACGGGTATTTTGCAACTATACCGTTTCCCTTTCATACAGGAATCTGAATATCCAGTATCATTAGAATGTTATTTTTACGAGGCATACTAGCAATAATGTTTGTCCTTATGTTCTTATTGTTGATAGGTAAATGTTTGAGCGACGCTCTGGTTAATCTTTTCTTAATTGTGATGAGTGTACAATCTTTATTTTATCTTTTTTATCTTTCTTGTGTGTTTGTATGAATATCTAATTCGAATATTATCTATGATATAAATGTTATCCTTTAATGTTAAAGGCTTGTCAGATTACAAAAAAGTATGATGTATTTAACTGACTGAAGAACGAAAGAATAAGAATCTGCCGGTATTCTTTTTAATAACTCTTTAGATTTTATTATTCACAGGAAGGTTCAGAGCCCGAACGGAAACTATTTATTTTTAGATGTGACTATGCAAAATGTTATGATAATATAAATAATATCATCCAAACACTTTTTTATCTGGTGATTGGTACAGAATTATGATAATGATACCAGGAGGATATACACACCAAAGTAACCCCAAAGCTCAAGAAGCTCTGAAAAAATGTTCAGAGAGCATACGATACAAATTCAACATCCCTGATATTGACTTTAAAAAAATATTTTACATTAGCAACTAATCCTCGGGGGCGGAGCTACGACGCGCACCACTGTACCACGTATTTCTATGGGCTTTGTGCGCGCTGCTGTGGAAAGTCAGTGGAGCCGGTGAAAACTCGAGAAAACAACACAAACTCAACTTTGAAGTAATCCTGAACAACCAAATTCATATATGTTACACACGTAGGGCTAATCTTGTTACACTGTTCAGGGGACTCTCAACAACCATCGCAAAGTACCGTTTTCTGTGAGTTTTTGGTCTTTGTTTTCACCGCGAAAGTTGCCAGGCGGTAGAAAATGCCCGGATGTCCGCCCCGAGGATACAACAATTGATACAAGATTAAGATTATTTTCAATTTAAGGTGCTTCATAGATTTATTGCTACAGGCTGAATATTATGAACAAAAAAGAGAAATTAATATTTTAATACTTAGTCAGGTTTGCCATGGATTTAGATTATCTATGAACATGACAGTATTGGGAATTTTGGGAAACAATAAAATGCCAGATGTATTAACCAGATTTTATTATGTACACGCTATTACATATAGCAGTATAAACAAAAACTAAATTGTCGATATTCTCTGGTTTGTTATGGGTGTCGCACATTTTGTCTGGAAATAGAAACGTATTTGGCCAGAAATGGTAAGGTGATTTTCTATTGAAAATTGGGTAAATTGGCAGAACTCATGATGTAATGAATGGAAATGGTAGAGTAACTCTAGTAGCGTATCTGAACTGTACATTATTGCATGCTTTTGTTACATAAGTTGTATTGCTATTCATTCTAAGTAATTGAAATCGTATTATTTAAATGTAAAACAGTCCAGTGTATGTTTAATAAGAGTACCTTATTGTATTATTGTCATCCTTGGTACTCATCCATTTTTTCTATACTGTCTTTTTTATTTATTTATTGTGCTGTATATGGTTAATTATAAAAGAAATGGCAGTGCAGTAATCTTCAATCTTGTGATCATGACATGGCTGCAAATTAGAATACATTACGGAATGTATGAATATTTTATCATAACTAGTAATGAAACGCACACTACGATATTTCGAAATATTCAGTCTCCATGCTCCTCATAAGACGGGTAATCATGAAGGTGCCTTGTATCACAACTCGCACTGCATTCTGGTTCTTCACATCAATTGTAAATATATGTGTGCACAACAAATGGTGCATTTGGAAATCAACTTTTGCAGCACGTAACTAATAGAAGGCGTGAAAATGGCGACCAAGATCTGTTATGTTCAACATATCATGTTACAGTATTTTAATTACTCTTTTGAACGGTTTTAACATTCAAATCCCATATATGCCGACGTTTACCTGCTGGATGTTTAAATATTCACACAACGGGATACCATCTATGTACCAAGTTTCATTTAAATGTGATTAGAACCAAACAATTATGAATTATTATGCACAGATTTTAATCCAAAAAGATCTGTGCATTGTCCTTTGGCATTTATGTACTAGAGTTCATTGACATGTGATAGTACTTGAGATATCAGTGGAAAAGCCGACTAATTATGCAAATTAGGGTATTAATATGCAAATATTATTAACTTAAAACTAATTATATGTTTTTGATGAAACTTGATGCATAGATGCTCTGGGCTAATTAATGACCTAATTTGCATAACAATGAGTCAATTTTGGGCATTTCCACTAATCATGACATTTCAATGAAACTTGGTACTTAGATGTCATAGTACAATGCACATACCTAGTTCTTGAGATATCAGTGGAACAGACTGACACACATACACATACACATACAGAAGCACTAACTGCATCATAAAACAAAAATTATTTGAAACTAGGAATTTAAAACTGTTTAAAAACTAAACAGATTGCTCCATACAGCACAGTATCATATTGAAAAGATGAAATAGGCATTTAGGCTAAAATGAGAATTTGTGCACATAGACTACAAATTTAAAAAAATAGACCTCGTAGGCCAAAACTTTACACTGAACAAAGAAAATGTCATTACTACAACCAATTAGAAAATGAACTTCACTTTTTCACAGAATGTCAATTATACACAGAAATAGGAAAATAAACAATAATCTATTCACAAAAAAAAGAGAATTTGAATTGTTAAAAAACAAAGACAAACTTATTTACATTACGCATGCAAATTGTAGACAAATATTAAAAGTGATTCATTTCATTAGAACTGCATTTTCTATTAGAGACAAAAAACAGCCAGTAAACTGATTCTTTTCTAGAGAATTTATTGTCTAGAAATAGAAATGTATTTTTTCTAATCAGTCATAATAAAGATTGTCTAATCATGATATCATATCTTATTCTATAGAATGTAGATCAGCCAAGGCATACTGACATGAAATCTAATGACATTGGTATTATCATTATGCATAATCATTAACATATTGCAGCATACACGACTAATATATGTCAAAATATTATTTGAAGCGCAGTAGTCGTAGGTAGTCGTCGTTGATAAACATTGATTTTCCCACAATCCAATGCGCTCTTCAAATAGAAATCACAAGTATGAGGTTTGACCTGGGCACGACTTGCACTGATTACCGCCGGTGACTCCTTGATACCTTCGAATAACATGAAAATTACCTTAGAAACGTCTCAATTCGTACTCGTTGATCTGTGAAACAGTCAAAGTCGCCATCTTTGTTTATATAAGACCCATATATCTTGCACATGCACAGCGCGACGACTACCGCACTTTAAATTGGTTCCATATTTACAAGAAGCCAATGATTCTGTGAATTAGATAACAGTTATGCAAGTGACATATAGCAAAATAACCATCAATTTTTTTATTTTATCTCTCTGAGAAAGTCTTGTAATTCATTTGCATAGGTATTGTTAAAGTTCTTCTTCAAAATTAAAAGTATTTCTTGTGGCATCTATCAGCAGTGGTGTGACTCCAAATTTAAAACCACCAGCTATTTCCACCATTGACAGCAACTTCCTGGCCAGACATTGACAATTACGAATAGTCTGTAGAGATATAAATGAAATGCAAATTAATATGCAAATTTAAGTAAATTACGCCAACCATGACCATTTTGAATTGTGGAGAACACAAAAGTTATTTGAAGTATTTATAAACTATGTTCACATAATTCAATGAGAGATAATTTTGATGAATTGTTAAAGCCTAAAATATTTTAAAAACACTTCTCCCCTACCGGGTACTACCATTATTAGATAAGTGGATTTAGGGCGAGAAAGATGTTGCAAACATGTTCATATTGCTTCTTCTGTTTGAGAGGTTTTCAGAACAATCCACTGAGTGTTGTTCACACATCATAAGTTGTAATGATCTTATGGAAGTGTTGTATGCACTAGCATCTACTAGGTAGTCCCAATCTCCTAAATGTCCAGTTTTAGATAATTACAGCAATTTCTTGATCATTCTGGAGCATTCGAAAACATTTTCTGGATTAATTTTCAATATAAAGATTGCTGTGAACACAATTTATGTTTTGTTTGTTTCTTATGATTCAAAAGTGCATTTATACATTTTATATAATATTCCATTGTACCTTCACATCACCACAAAGCATAGGTGACTGATACACATCTGAGAGGCCAGTCACAGCCATCATCTCAACGTTTTGGTTATCAGGATCTTCAGCTTTCATCACGACAAAACAACATCTTCCTAAGAAGTAGTCAACATCCAGATACTTGACTGACGACTCAACAATGGTCATACTGAAACCAACACAAAATTATATAAATGTTTTCATGGGTAAGCAAATAGGCTTAGACTTTTTGTAAAAATGTGTACTTTGGCTTCGCTTGTAATTGTATGTGCAAACAAACAGACACGTATTGCACAGTGAAACACCGCAGACATCATGCTGCCTTCCACTCCATACTCATTGCACCAAAAAATTCAGTTAGAAATGTAGTGAACACCACCCAACAACAAATAGATGAAAAAGCCGAATCTTAGTCGTCACAAACATCATATATATATATTCAAACTCTCAATCACAACAATCACCCTGCCAACGCAGACAGAGACACCGCCTACCGAGCCATACTCACTGCACCAACAAATGCAGTGTACTGAACACCGACCAACAACTAGATAATAATGCACAAGCCAAATATTGTGTTTTAATATTAAAACAATATTTTGACAAAAATAAAAAAAGATGGGACATAAATCTTTCAAACTAATGTGTTCACTGACCCATTTTATGGTCATAAACATAATAATAAATTTTACATTGTCTATTGGTCACCTTTGACCTCTATCATTGACTATGAAATGAATCATCCAATAATAGTATACAAATATTACCAAATTATTATAGAACTTGTGTGATCTTCATTTATTAGAACAAGTAGTGTAGTGTAGTGTAGTGTAGTGTAGTGTAGTGTAGTGTAGTGTAGTGAACAAGATGCAAATTTTGGTCCATTACAAATTATAATGTTGAATACAGTATTTGCTAAATAAGTAGTACATTTGCTTATGTAAATGTTGGGAGGCATTTATGGTCAAAATACAACGTAAGTAATTTTTTAATGATACAACATACAATATACACAATTTTTGGTTTGTGTTGTACTTCTATTGAAAATGTACTTCTGATAGAGCAAATACAGTAATTACATCAAGCACTGTTGTAAAAAATTTCTCACCTTAACACATTTGACAAATCTATCACAAAGACAACAAAATTGACTGGAGGCCTTGAATCTGATTCATCTTTAGGTAGAGGTAGACTGGATGCAGTCAACCTGTGGATAAAATGGCACAACATAATAGAATCTGTATACATCAACAGTGGTTTATATTGAGTTTATGAAATTGTTTGAATGATTATTTATTAATTGGTAGTCTGATGCATGTACAATGTATATCATTATTTCAGTATACAAATAGAAATATTATAGCAGAAAAAATATTCGCTGGATTAAATTTGATGTATTTATATGTGTTTGTTAAATTCTACATGTTTTCACTGTGTTTTATTTTAGCACATTTATTTAAAATGAGTGAAAATTAAAATCCAATAAATTATTAAGCTCCTACAATATAGTATATAAATTTATGAAACTATTGCACATGATTGAATCTCTTGAAAACATAGTAATTTTCAGAGATCTAAATGCAGGAAAACGTAGATCTTTTAGCAGGTCGCCATGAATTGCACTAAATGGAAATTGTTTGCGACAAAACATAGTGACTTCATATGCCGGTAAAATTAAAAGGCAGTTTCATAAATTACAAGTTGAAAACAACTTGACCAATCACATTACAGTCAAACCTGTGTTAACGACCACCTGTGCAGAGCGGCCACCTGCTCATAGCGACCACTTTAGTATAGTCCCCTCGCAGTTTACATGTTAAAGACTTTGACAGATGAATACAACCCAGAGTGTTTTATCTTTGACCCATTATGATGATTACCCTGCGAACTGCGAAGATGAATATGCTTTAAACTTATAATTTTCTGTGTAAGTTAAACTGATGATAATGCATGTCTATTTGAAAAACATGATGTTGATGATTAATTTGAAGTTGTTTGGATACAATTGATTGATTCCATTTATGTTTATCAGCCACTTTTGAGGGAATGATGCAAAGACTCGTGGGGATTGGGTGTTACCAAAGCGTCTCCCTATCCAATGAAAATTGCTTATTCATATTTGAAAGTCACAATGGTACCATGGTAAATGTTTTATAAATTTAAAAAAAAACAACATTCATAGCTTTATGAAAAACAATGTATGAATATAAATGTTATTTTTATAAAACCAGTAAAACAACAATTGGGTAAAATCATTATTTAATCTGAAATAAATACTTATGGATACCTACATATTCAAATTGAAATCTGTGTCTATGTTCAACATTGCTTCAGCTAATTTATGTTTGGATGTACCTTCTGCTCCAACCAACTGCAAAAGAGAACAGTAACAGTGAACATAATACAATGTAGCCAGATAGCAATATTACAAATACTACATGTACAAGTAAAACGCTCTGTGCCACAGTCACTTACATTTTTCTGTACAGTCCAAATAATTTGATCAGTACTATTTATTATTAATTTTTTCTCACTACACTGAGCAAACACAAGCTATGAAACACTGCCAGCATGAAATCAATAATTGTCTATTTCAAAGATCCATTTTTTAACCTAAAATGTAAAAATGAAAAACCTGGGAATACATTAATAACCATTCCTACCATTTTTTTTTTTAGTTTTTCAACAGTTTTGGTTGGTTTCATTACCGTAGCAGCAGAAAAGTAATATTATGGGGTTCCCTGCACAGTAATTGGCTGTAAGTCAGCTGAATAGACCGTAACCTGAATCACAAAACCTTTGGTTGTATTATTCATGTCTCTAAGACAAGCCTACGTCACAAACTGGTCAAAATCCCCCAAACATTGCCAGCAACCAATCACAATAGCTTTCCCTGACGATAATACTTAGCAACGTTATTTCCCCCACGCTAACTTGAAAAATCTTTTGTTTTTGTCTCGTTTCCGTTTCCGGTCTGTCTTAGAGAATATCAGTATTACTTTTCAACAGTTTTTGCACTGAAGTTGACAAACTCAGAATTTATGATCTTGAATGAAATCGACTGGTAAAATAGTTAAAACTTATTGATGTATCACCAGACACCACAGGGTTTTTATTTTCAGATTTTAAAGGGTGCTGGCATCACACAGCTGTAACACAACTTTACACAATAAAACTTATGAGTTATACTCCGTTCAATCGAAACACAATATGTACTACAAAGAAAATAAATTACCAGCACTGTAGCCGTATTGGGAGCTGATACTTTGTTGAAAGTTGACAACAACTTCGACATACCGATCGGATGATAATAATCACGTTTTTCACTTTCGCCGTTTTGGGGCCGGGAGGTGTTTTGAATAGCCCGCCCGCCACGGCCTGTTTACTGATGTAATTGCTAAACTTCTAAAATGTCAATTCGAATCAGCTCAAATTAGGTGATTTTAAATACTGAAATTCAATAAATGGAGAATAAAAAAAACACAGAAGTAGAAAATGCATATATTTCGTGCTTAAGGTGCGTTTTTTGAAATATATTATTCTAAGATGAATGGTCCTATCGATTTACGAATGTTGGGTTTTGTCGAATCAAACATTACAGGCAACATCCAAGATGGCGAATAATTTCCTTCGTTGTTGTTGCGTGTTCTTTAGCTCTGGATTTCTTGTTGAATTAGAGATTAAATGCTATATATCGTGACATACATGTACTGATACGTGAGTTGATATTATTGTTTGAGACATGACTTTGTTATAGAGGACCGTCCTTGATGTATAACAAAACCAAACCATAACCTGATTTTACACGTGGTTGTGCAAGGACGAGTGACATTGGGAGAGGATTTGAATAATATTCGTCGACCAACGAAGGATATTTATAATATTTGCAGAATAACTTCAATATTGTGAATTGCTGTCCGGACGCCAGGACGTCAACAGAGGTACAAAAACATTTTTTTTTTTTTACAAAATATTTAATTACTAGTAGTAAAATCTATAGCATATTTCCATTGTTGTAGTACACATGTTGCACAGGGGCCTGACGATCTATTCGTGTGGTTGGCTGCTGAAGTCAATACATGGACATGAACGACTATGTTCTGGTACAGAACCTTGTTATTGCTCGAGTTAAATGAAATTATAGAATTAAAACAGTTTGGTGATGTAATGAAACCATATGTCATCATATTTGAATACTCATGTACTGAAACAACCAAAATCGACACATATTTAAGCAATAACCCCCGCCGAAGGCGGGTATACCACGAGATATTGCACAATTCACGACATATATGCACGAGCTGCAGGCGAGTGCATATATGGAGTGAATTGTGCAATATCAAGTGGTATACCCAACTTCGGCGGGGGTTATTGCTATTATATTATACCAGTATATTGACAATTCGATAAAACTTGTAAAAAAAGAGTTTACTTTCATCTACTAAAAGATCATGATTATGGCCCTTGAACATGAATATTTATAAGAATAGTATGTAGTTGTACGCTGAATGCATACAAAAA